CATTGCGATGTACAAGCCTGACCGTCACGTCAAGCCAACAGTTATCGGTCGGGTAACTACAAATGTGATGCACTATAACGTACATCATAGCTTATCCTCTGTGTAAGACTTTATCTATGGGGAACACTACGATTCACCTTGTAGTATGCTTGTTAATTACAAATTCATTATGCTTTACTGTATTTGAACATTTAATATGCTTGTAAACAACAATATAGAAACGATGTTTTAATACATAATTCATAAAAACATTCCAACGCTTCGGATTCCACGCCGACCATGTACATGGTCCGAGGTTCGATCCCCTGCCGACGCACACCTGATGTCTATGGTCGGCCTGCAAAATCTGGGCTACCGACATCCATGCTGAAAATTCCATACCTGTACCAAGATATACGGTGTGGAATCAAGCTGTAATCAAAAATGAAATAAAAAAGTAAAAATAATTCTACACCTTAGGTTAGCAAGTTCATCTAACCTTTTGATAGTATGTGGAGGGAGTGTGTTGTCTTGAAAAATCTTTATCAAAACAATTACTTCTCTTTATGAATTTAGACAAAGCAATAAGAAGACGTAATTTGTCTGAATTGAATGAATGAAGTTCAGAATAGCAAGCATATTATTTACGTCTATAGAAGAAGAAGATAACTTTTTTCCCCCACTGTATATCTCTGTCTGTCTGTCTGTCTGGATTCAACATAGGACTTGGCACCGAAGTGCAGCAGTTCGAGTTGCCACCTTCCAAATAGCACACAGAGGTAGACAAGAAGATGAGTGAAGAGAATCAATAGAGTTTGACAAGTATAAGAGTGAAACAGAATGGGTAATGGTAGAAAGGAATATGAAAGATTACACAGACTGAATACATCTGCGCCCATTGACAACGATTTTGAGCCGTGTCACCTATTGTCTCCAGCCATTGATTCCTAGAGTCCCGAGGGCCCCAACCCGGAAGTCTGCATCTCCCTACCTGACTCAGTTTAACTGTCAAGGATTTCATGGATTGATGCCATATTTTTGTTTGTCCACCACTGGCTGTTTTCCAACCTGAACCTATATCAGCTAGCAATGCCCGTCGGGGGAGGCGGTGGTTAGGTATGCCCACCACGTCACCTAGCCATCTTAGTCTATGTAACTTTATAGCCTCGTCGATTGATTTTCCCTCTTTCCCCAACACTCTACGCCTAACGTCAACATTACTTATCTTGTGAAACCACCTAACGTGAGACAGAGATCGCAGACATCTATGATCGAAAGCAGTCAACCTTTTCATGTCTTCAACGCGTATTGGCCATGTTTCAGAGCCATAGAGAAGGACGGAGCGAACTGATGAGCAGTACACACGTCCCTTGGTTGATAACCGGATGTCACGCCTACGCCAGAGATGGTGTAAGTCAGCGAAAGCAGCTCGAGCTTTTCGGATCCGTGCTGAGATTTCATTGCCAATCAGTCCGTTGGTGCTAATACAACTTCCCAAATAGGTGAAGTGGTCAACATGTTCTATCACTTCACTCCCTATCACTAAGTTAGGGGTTGACGTGGTCCAGTCCTGTATATACTGCTTGGTTGACGGCTTGATGGCTAAATAATACGATCTTTTTTTATAGAAAACCTACCTGAACAGGAAAGTATTTTAATTTGCACAGTTTCTGCTCTGTTCAGTACAATACAGAGTTAGTGAGGTGCCTCTTCAGTAGAATCTAACCAATATGCACTGAAGACACACTTGACGAGGAAGTAAGAAAAGTGACACAAACTCTGGTTGATAATAATTATCCAGATAAGTTAATAAGGAGATATAAAGTGTTGAAAACACCAAGATTCACTCTCCAACTGGCCACCTAAGAAAGACATATATATCAAGCTACTCTATGCCTGGGTGATCGCACCATCTTAGTAACTCGGCAGAGGTGGAACTATGGTGTTAAGAAGACTTATTATGCAGCTAAGATCAGAATAATTGAGAATGTGAAGCCAATTTATCCATCTAAGCTCTTTGAACATGCGAAAAATCATGTCACATCCCACTGTATTTACCAATTTCAGTGTACGTGTGGATACACATACATAGGTAGGACTCATCAATCTCTGAAAATAAGGGCTTCAGAAGCAAATTGAATCTCCAGAACCTATTAATGGTGAAAACGGGCGACCTATTACAAAACATATTATAGAGGCAGGGCATAAAATTGTTGTTTACACATCTTTTAAACTCATCTATAAAACGTGTTTGGGGCGTATCCTAAAGTTTATGGAAGTCCTAGGCGGTAGTTAGGAAGTTTAGACCACCTTTATGCGTTCAAAGCAACAATTCGTCATCAAGTATTGGTTTTGTAGGGATTTTGTTTGATTGCATGGAGAATTTCATCATGAGCTGACATCAGTTAGAGAACCACTGGAAAACCTGTGAGTACTGGACAGCTGTTTCGTCCTAGTTTGGGACTCTTCATCAGTACACACCCGCTGAGGTGGGTGTCTACGAGCTCGCCTTGTAACCAGAAGGTGCTGGGTTCGAACCCCGTTGAATGCGTACTGATGAAGAGTCCCAAACTAGGACGAAACAGCTGTCCAGTACTGCGAGGTTTTCCAGTGGTTCTCTAACTGATGTCAGTCAGCTCATGATGAAATCCTCCATGCAATTCGTTATCACACTAAACCTTCCTTAGTAGACTTTCTTTTGATACTAGTCAGGGCAGGTGTGCTATTACCTCTGTGATATGGTTTGGTGATCCTCGTTGTTATTTTGACCTTCACTATGTCCTTTTAACTTGTTCAAGTCTATTTTCTGACCCCTTAACTCTCTATTATATATATTCCTATAACAAGCCCGTTTACGATCAGACGTGTTGTGCGAATACACAATATGTGATTCAAAGAAATTACGTCTTCTTATCTGTTTCTGTAAACAGTATGCTAAAAGTAATGGGAAAGTCTACATATCCAGGTAATTATTTGAATGTTGCAGTATAGTAAATGATTTTTACTGAATTTCAGGAACGCAACAGTTCAACTTGCCTCGCTTCATGTAGTACACATAAGTGGGGAAAACACAAGTAATCAGAGGACTTTAAATGAGCAGACATGTACGAGAAAAACATGTGGATTTAATGGCTCTGAGAGGTCACAAAGAGTGAATGCGTCTGCACCATTGACAGGACTGTTTAGGGCCATATTACCAGTAGTCTCCAGATATTGGCTCTTAACATCTCAAGCGCCCCAACAAGAAAGTCTACACTTCCCCATGTGGTTGGCTCAAACCAACTGTCAAAGACTTAATGGATTGGTGCCAGGTTTTGGTTTGACCACCCCTGACTTTTTTTCCAATCTAATCCTATGTCGACCGACATTGCACGTCGAGGAGGGCTAGTGGCTTGACAAGCCTTATTCTTGTCCTAGCTATCTCAGCCGATATAGCTCCACAACTTGATCGATTGATCGAACCCCGGACGCGGTTATGACTCTCGCCGATCATGCACATGGTCTGGGGTTCGATCCCCTGCAGACGCACACCTGATATCAATGGTCGGCCTGCAAAATTTGGGCTACCGATATCACATGCTGAAAATTCCATACCTGTACCAAAAATACGGTGTGGGATCAAGCTGTAATAAAAAAAAATGTTGGTAGGAGTGTAACGGATCAGATAATCTTATCCACCTCTGCGGCCAATGTGGTGTTATTTCCATCTTCATTCAGTCTTTATCTACGTGTAAGTGGCCTGACGTCTTCATTTTATAAATTTGCGGTAACTTTGCCTGTCTGACTATCTCCACTGTCTCTGTTAAATTTTTCTACAACTGATGGTGACATCACAAATCAAACAATTCTAAAGTTCACTGGTGCATTTTTCGACAAGGCAAATATCGTCGTTCAGTACACATGATATCATCTTGAAATAGTGGTTTCATTGGTTTGAACATGTTCTGGAAACATTATCCAACCTGTTTACTGTTAACTTCCCGCCCCCCTCGCCTCGCCTGGTTGGAAGACACATTCACAAGTGGCTACTTCATGGTGTGATGCCATGGAATATGAGACACTTATGTTGTACCTGTTTGTGTGTTACGACTCCCTGTGTGGGATTAAAGAAGTCTTGCAACTTAGTAGTAGCTCGACATGTCATCATATATTGTCACAGAGTAACCATCAATGATTACTATGCTGTAGCTGCCTTTTTACATCGACTATGGGATTAAGTAGTGTGGTGAGAGCTGTCTGCTAGCCCAAATTGTAGATACCGATTTACATTAATGTTTATATGATGTTTATAACTCTGGTGTTTCCTCATTTGCGGATAAATCTTTCGCCTTTTACTAAAGATTTTCGTGGGGAGGCACAATACAATACAATGAGTCTTGCCTCATTTTTTTCAGCTCTGTCTTCGGACGGAGTATTTATTGCGTCGGTCGGTGGCACAGTGGTTAGGATTTTCGCCAACCATGCGCATGATCCGATGTTCGATCCCCTGCCGACGCACACCTGATATCTATGGTCAGCCATGCAAAATTTGGGCTACCGATATTACATGCTGAAAATTCCATACTTGTACCAAAAATACGGTGTAGAATCAAGCTGTAATCAAAATTTAAAAAAATAAATAGAATAAAAATATCCCTAATCGGGGTCAAGAGATAAAACAAGAACAAAGTCTAACCTTGGGGAACTCAACAACCAGTCACAGAAGACTTAGCGTGGGTGGATACGATTCGCAGATATATCAACGGATTGTCTCAGAAACGGTAACCAGGAGATGACAGAATAACCTTCAGCAAGAAAGCAACCATTCAGAAGGCGTCGCCTGTGTGCTAACAATAACCATAATAATAATGTACATAAAAATCTATAAATATTTGTTTATTTCCTACATAAACTATCTGTTGCCAGACCCTTGTCTTCTGTCGTTACAGTAGTATCCGTTGGTGTGTTGTCGCATAACTGTTTTTTATATATTACATCTATTAACAATTAATATACCTATACATTTGATGTTTATTTTAAAGGTTTCAAATGCTATTGAACCAGATCATGTGATCTACGTGTTGGATGCATCAATTGGTCAAGCGTGTGAAGCCCAGGCTAGTGCATTCAAAGCTAAAGTAGATGTATCCTCAGTTATTGTCACTAAATTAGATGGTCATGCTAAAGGTAAGCTTTTTATTATTATTATTATTTAATCTATGAGATAAACCGTTTTCTTGATTGATTGATCGATTGAGTGAGTGAGTGACTTTCGACATAGAACAACTTTGCCCAGAAGTACACACCACCAGTTCAACTTGCCATTCTCTCTCTCTCTCTCTTGTCGAGGAAGGCAATGTTAGCTGACTCCATTATGGATAATATTTTATTTTCATAAATCACACAGTGTTATACAGTAATAAAATGCAGAGTCTTCTAAACACCTTAAGCTGCAATCTACGAATGTTTGGCATGTGATTCGCTCCCGCCAAATGTAAGATGATGTTACAGGACTGGACTACATCGACGCCTAGTTTAAAAATAGGGAGTGAAGGGGTAGAGCACGTTGACCGCTTCACTTATTCGGGAAGTACCATCAGCCAGTGCCAACGGGTTGATCTCTGACGAAATCTCAGCACGGATACAGGGGGCTCGTTTCGCATATGCCTATCAGTTTACGCCGACTCTGGCGTAGACGAGATGTTCGACTATCGACCAAAGGGCGGGTGTACTGCTCATCAGTCCGCTCCGTCCTCCTTTATGGCTGTGAGTGAGACCTGGCCACTGAGAGTGGAAGACATGAAAAGGTTGGCTAGCTGTCTTTGATCATAGGTGCCTGCGTTCTATCTCCCGTGTGAAGTGGCATAGTAAGGTGAGAAATATTGAGGTTAAGCCTTAGTCGAGTGCTAGATAAACGGGGGAAATCAATCGACGAGGTTGTGAAGTTACAAAGACTGAGATGGTTAGGACATGCGTTACGCATGCATGTCTAGTCATCGCCTTCCTCGACGTAGACGGGCAATGTTAGCGGATAAACGGTCAGGCTGGAAAAGAGCTAGCGGAGGTCAAACAAAAACATGGCTTCACCAGTCAATGAAATCTACAACAGTTAGTCTAAGCCATATAGGAAGGTGTAGACTTCCTGACTGGTTGGGGTCCTCGGGACTGTAAAAGCCAATGCTTGGAAACAGTTGGTGACATGGCTCAAAATCGTTCTCAATGAATGGTGAAGATGCATCCACTCCTTGTGACTTATGATTTCCAATGAAACTGTTTTATTCTTCGTTATTAATCTTCCTTTGTCTCACACCTCTACTTACTGTCTCTGTTATGCATTTCTTGTGCTTTATTGTCTTGCTTCGTGTGCTACATGGAGGGAGTGTGGCGACTTGAACTTCCGCACATGTGTGCAAAGTTCTATGTCGAAAACAGACAGACAGACATTAACTATCGACCACGTTTCAAGCACAAATTACTGATCATAATCATATCAAAGCACTACTCACACAACTTTTTTCTTTCATTTATATACATGTGTGGAATTGACCGGTGACGGCTACATTCTGCGTATTAATTTCGCTGTAGATTTCCTAACCGTATTCATTATTGTATCTACAGGCTTCTTAATTTCCTCCTATGGACGACCCATCTCAGTATGTACATTGACTTTCTTGATATAGTCATATTTATCCAAAACTACGGTGGAGTTTCCTTTTATCAGCTTTTATGATGACAATGTTTTTATCCTGTTTTAGACTAATTAGCACTAGTCCTTCCTATGCGAAGTTAAGTTTGATTTTGCCTTCTTTTGATTTTTTTTTCAGTGTTAATATACATTGTCCTCGAATCTCTTCTGCTGTCGTCTTATCTATTCAGCTTAGTGCTACTTCTATGTTAGGAATGACATCCTCTGGTTTTAATTTACTAACTGGTACATTGAAATTTAGTCCTTTCTGTGGAAATTAATACGCAGAATGAAGCCATCACCGGTCAATTCCACATATGTATATAAATGAAAGGGAAAATAAAGTATAATTATATTTTAATAGTTTACACACAATATCATTGTGTGTAAACTATTAAAATATAATTATACTTTATTTGATCTAATCCACAATGCTCAAACTTTTTACTGATATGAAAGGGAAAAGTTGTGGTGTGAGTAACTTGATAAGATTTGAGCAGTAGTTTGTGCTCAAAACGTGGTCGCATCAGTTAATATTACTGTATAACACATTGTGTGATTTATTATAATAAAATCTTATCCATAATGGAGTTATGCTCTACCACTACAGTGCTCAAGTTTTATACATTATATCAATAATGTTAGCTCACATCGGATCGATCAGGTTGGAAAAGAGCTAGCCAGTGGTGGTCAAACCAAAATACAGCTTCATCAGTCAATGGAATCCACAACAACAGTTCGTTTAAGCCAGCCAATCACGTAGGAAGGCGTAGACTTCCTGACTAACTGGTTGGGGTCCTTAGGACAGTAAAAAAAACCAATGGAGACTGGAGACAATTAGTGATATGGCTCAAAATTGTTCTCGGTGGCTAGCGCAGATGCATCCACTCCTTGTGACATTATAATACCCAATAAACCTATGTGGTTCTTCGATATTATTATTATTCTTTTTGCCTTATATCTTTGTCTACTGTCTTTATTTTACATTCCTTTTTACTTTCTTCTCTTGATTTTTGTGCTACATGGAATGTGGTGACTAGAACTGCTACACATCTGTGTTAAAACCAGTCTAGTCAGTCAGTCAGTCAGTCCACACAAAGGAAGACTAAAGGGACGAGGAAAGACATTCGAAAGAACTAATAATACGCAGAAATTTAAAGGATATTTGGCGTTCAAAATGAGTGAATGTGTATCTGCCCTATTCATTGACAATGATCTTCAGCCATAACATTAGTGGCCTCCTGCCTTTGATTCTTAGGAATCTGAACACTCCAACCAGGCAGTTTACACCTCCCTACATGTCTGACTACATGCTAGCTTAAACGATCTGTCATGGATTTAACTGACTGATGAATCCACTAGCTTTCTCTTTTCCAACCTAATCCAATGTTAGCTAACATTGCCCGTTGAGAAAGGTGATGGTTAGTCATGCGTAAAACATGTCCTATCCATCTCAACCAATGTAAATTCACAACTTCATCGATTCACTTCCTCTCATTACCTGATACTCGACGCCTAATTTCAATATTATTCATCGTATTATACCGCCTAACACGGGAGATAGAACGCAGACACCTACAGTAAAAGACAGTCAGCCTATTCATGTCTTCCATGATGCAGTAAAGGTTTGGGTGATGAACGGATAAGATAACCTCATGACAATACTTTCAATTCAAACTCTAATGTTATCAGCTTACACTTTGAATGAAGCAGCTTTTACTCTTATTGCTAAGCGTGTAATAACACTGAACTAGCAGAAACAACTGTTCCAACAAGTATGAGATCTTTAGTCGTTGTGAAAGTGGTAGCTATTAGCCTTTGGTACACCAAGATGGGAGAAAGACAAGGCTGGTTGGCTGGCTGCCTACTGTCTCCAGTGATTTCCCTGATCGAGGGTGGTAGACTGGATAATGCGACAGACAGCCGGCTGGGCAGCGAGGAAACAGGCATAAAATGGACCCACACAAAAGACTTGGAAGATCTGGACTTCACCGATGTGATATATGTGTCTAATTTCACACAAACTGGAAAATATGCAAGTGAAAAGCAGCAAGTTGGCAGAAGAAGCATCCAGAGTGAACATAGAGAAGACAGAAGTGATGAAAATTCCTGGTCAACAGCAACAATAACAACAGACAACAATCAGCATAAATGGGAGAAACTTGAAGGAAGCAACCTCCTTCACCTACCTACTTACCTGGGAAGCATCGTTTCAACTACAGGCAGACGCGAGTGATGAGGATATCAAAGCGAGGATCCGGGAAGCAAAGCGAACTTTTATTGCTCTCAGGTCTGTGTAGAAATTAACAGCACTCAACACGAACATTAAAATAAGATCCGGATTTTTGACTCTAATGTAAAGTCAGTGCTACTGATTATATGGATCGGAGACTTGGCGCGTTATGAAGAGAGCACCTCAAATAAACTACAGACCTTCATCAACAGATGTCCCCGCTCATTACTACTCAAGATCAGATGGCGGGTCAGAAGAGATCAGAAACTGGAAGGGATCTCTGGCAATGGATGAACCAACCCAGCAGGAAGCAATTGTGCAACAAATATGCAGGAAGAAATGAAGGTGGGTTGGCCATACTCTGAGAAAACAAACCATCAAGTGACATCACACACCAGGCCATCGTTGGAGTGGAACTCAAACAGGAAGCTGCCAGTTAGTCGGTCGTCAGTGTGGGGGTGGAGTGACATGAAGGAGGTGATGTGAAGAAGAGATGAAAGGATGTGGGCAGAGTGGAGTCAGGTGAGAAAATGTTGGCGGAGAACCGAATATATATATATATATATATATATATATATATATATATATATATAAAGACAGTGGATTACCGATTCCTGTGTTTATTTTTTACTCATTTAACTGATTTATACTCATTAATGTGTTATTTTCCTTTAATTAACAGGTGGTGGTGCTTTAAGTGCAGTTGCAGCTACACACAGTCCGATTACATTCATTGGAACTGGTGAACATATAGAAGATTTTGAACCGTTTAGAGTTCAACCATTTGTACAAAAGCTGTTAGGTCTAGGGGATTTAGAAGGTTTAGTTGAACGTGTAAGTAATAGTTATTAATTATTCATTATTATTATTATTATTCTATTGGGTTCCAAGTTGAACACCAGGAGCTTCAGAAGAACATCCCCACTTTACTCTGTTTTCCTTTAAGGTCTTTTTTTGTTTACCTGGCTTTACCTTCATATTAGTTTGTTTATTAGATGTATCACACAGTCAGTGAAATAGTGTTATTATTTACTGGATGACACAGTTTCGAGCACAATCCATTTTTGTCCATAATCATATCGTCAATTATAATCACACGACTTTGAAACTTTGGTTTTATAGTTTCCTTTGTCTTCTCCTATTTGTTGTCGTTGGGGTAGTAGAATTCTCCAGATATCTGGCTGGACAGGTGTTGAATCATTCCTATTACATGTATTTGCAGTTCATTCGATACACAAGGCTTCTGCTATCAATCTCTCCCTCCACCCTGTCATATTAGATTTTAAAACTGCCTGTCGTCCTATCCCATACATCCTATTATATGGTTGTGTGTAACTGCATGTGGTGAGTGCTATAGCTGAACTGTTCTCTAGATTTCTTATCTTATTTGGGTCAACCAATCTAAATTTCGCTGCTAGGTTTTCATGCTCGGCTAGTCTGACTGACCCTTTACTACTACTTTGACTTATGTATTTGACCTGAAAATCATTGCAGGCAGGGTATTAGATAAACTAAATTGTGTTTTAGTATACAATTGGTGGATGGTGGCTAGCAGTGGAATCCAGGATGCGTATTTCGTCCTATTTGGGACTCGTCAGCTGGATGTACCTGCATTTCTCAGTGAGTGATGATGTTCCCACCGAAGCTCGAACCCAGTACCCATAGTTTCAAGAAGCCGACATGTCAACCTGAGACCGAGCACTTCGGTCCAATCAATCGACGGGAAAATCGAAAATTCAATTCAATAAATTGTGTTTTGTTTAACGGCTCCACAGTATTGGTCCCTTAACCGATAAGGCTTGTTTCTAATTGAGTTTGTGGCTGGTTTGAATGCCAGCAACTTTTATTCCTACCTGCCTTGTTAAGAATTATGCACTGTAAGGTTTCCTAGGTTCCTTCTTTGTATGGAATTACTACTGATGATTTAGATTCCTTATTATTGGTGCTGTCCTTATCTTGCGCATATTTGACATACATGTCGTCAACAATATTATCACTATTATTATCACTATCACTACTATCATTATTTATTTTATTTTTACATTTCCTTACATATTTCTTTACTAATTTATCCGGATAATTATTAAGTTTCAAGGCTTCTTTTATGTGCATCACTTCCTGTCTTAGATTTTCCTTGGTACTACTTAGTTTTTGTGCTCTGTCACCTAAACATTTCACCAATCCTATTTTTACTGACATAGGATGGGATGATTGGAAGTCCAAATATCTTCCAACTGGCTTTACCTTCTCTACTTCACGGTCCGATGCAAGTTTAACTTTTCATTTCTCATACTGGTTCCACCCGGACGGATCTGTCTGACGTACTCTTGATATCATTCAACAATCTTCTTAGTGTGTGTATGTCCAATCTGTCTCTGTTTCCTTCTGTGTATTTTTAGGATGGTTGGTTCTTTTCTGATTCGTTGTCAAAGGTTGCTAGTGCTTATCTTCTTTTCTCGTTGGTCATCTAGTCTTCAGGATGAAGCAAAGCCGGGGCTGTTTATGAAAATCTTCAGCTAGCCTGTTGGAAATGAACTCAGCAATGCGTTTACAGGGATCAGTGATTTGATTTAACATTAGTGATTTCACATTAATGAAGGTCTGTGTTGCTTTTACGATCCTACCTTTGAAATTCTTTTATATATGTGCCAACTGTAGTTATTGATCATGATGTTGGATTGGGTAGCTTCTTTTTGTTTAACCGCTACCCAAACAACCTGCCTGGCATGGTAGGACCTCAAGAGACATAAGTCTCAGCCAGTATAGCTTGAATAGATCATTCAAGAAGGGAAACAAGTCCTCGTGTGATAATCATAGGGGGATCAGCCTAACGAACATAGTCTCTAAAATCCTAGGCTCAGTAATCATGCATAGACTAAGCAGAACTCGGGAGGAACAGACGAGGGAAAATCAAGCAGGCTTTAGACCAGGTAGAGGGTGCATAGATCATATCTTCACTCTTTGACAGATTCTAGAACATAGACACACTTTTCGGCGTCCAACAATTGTCATATTTCTTGACTTGAAGGCGGCCTTGGACTCCGTGGATCGAAAGGTACTATGGCAATGTCTGACTGTGAAGAGAGTGCCAAGAAAATACATTGCACTAATCAAGGCACTCTATTCAAACTCACGTAGTCGTGTAAGGGCTTATGGGGAATTGTCATCTGAATTGGTAACAACCAGTGGTGTCTGACAGGGATGTCCACTTTCCCCATTTCTGTTCAACTTCATCATAGATATGCTGATGGAGGTATCCTTAACTGAACGTAGTGACTTAGGAATCGACTTGTTACCAGGGAATAATCTAATGGACTTAGAATATGCAGATGACATAGTCCTGTTAGGGGAGGATGCTGACAAAATCCAGCAGAGTCTTCTGAACACCTTGAGCATTAATCTTCGTATGTTTGGCATGCGATTCACCCCTGTAAAGATGATGCAAGATGCTGCTACAGGGCTGGACTACGTCAACTCCTAGCCTAGTGATAGGAAGTGAAGAAGTGATAGAACATGTTGACCACTTCACCTATTTTGGGAAGTTGTATCAGCATCAACGGACTGATTGGCGACGAAATCTCAGCACGGATGCAAAAAGCTCGAGCTGCTTTCGTTGACTTACCCCATCTGTTTCACTCTTATACTTGTCAGACTGTATTGATTCTCGTCACTCATCTTCTTGTCTACCTCTGTGTGCTATTTGGAACGTGGCAACAGGAACTGCTGCACTACGGTGCCAAGTTCTATGTTGAATCCAGACAGACAGACAGAATAGATCATTGCGGTGTTCAAGCCCGACCACCACGTCAAGGTAGCACCTTTCGGTCGGGCCATTATCCCCTTTTCTATTCAACTTCTTCATAGATGTGTTAATGGACTTAACCCTAAGTGACTTCAGCGACTCAGGGATTGACTTGCTACCAGGGAATAATCTCGTTGACTTGGAATGTGCAGACGATATAGTCCTTCTAGGCGAAGACGCTGACGAAATGCAGAGTCTTCTAAACACCTTGAGCCGCAATCTACGAATGTTTGGCATGCGATTCGCTCCCGCCAAATGCAAGATGATGTTACAAGACTGGACTACATCGACGCCTAGTTTACAAATAGGAAATGAAGTGGTAGAGCACGTTGACCGCTTCACTTATTCGGGAAGTACCATCAGCCAGTGCCAACGGGTTGATCTCTGACGAAATCTCAGCACGGATACAGGGGGCTCGTTTCGCATATGCCTATCAGTTTACGCCGTCTCTGGCTTAGTAGACGTGATATCCAGCTGGCTATCGACCAAAGGGCGGGTGTACTGCTCATCAGTCCGCTCCGTCCTCCTTTATGGCCAGCTGGGAGACCTGGCCACTGAGAGTGGAAGACATGAAAAGACTAGCTGTCTTTGATCATAGTTGCCTGCGTTCTATTTCCCGTGTAAAGTGGCATAATAAGGTGAGCAACATGGAGGTTAGGCGTAGAGTTCTAGGTAAACAGGGGAAATCAATCGACGAAGTCGTGAAGCTACAAAGACTGAGATGGTTAGGACATGTGTTACGTATGCCAAGCCATCGCCTCCCTCGACGAGCAATGTAAGCGGATATAGGGTCAGGTTGGAAAAAAGCTAGCGCCGGTCAAACAAAAACATGGCTTCACCAGTCAATGAAATCCACAACAGTTGGTCTAAGCAAGTCACGTAGGAAGGTGTAGACTTCCAGGCTGGGGTCCTCGGGACGGTAAAAATCTATGGTTGGAAACAATTGGTGACATGGCTCAAAACCGTTCTCAGTGGCGCAGATGCATCCGCTCCCTGTGACTTATGATCTTCAATGAAACTGTTTTGTATTTCTTTATTACTCCTTTGTCTCACACCTCTGCTCACTGTTTCTACTATGCTTTTCTTGTACTTTCTTCTCTTGCTTCGCGTGCTACACGGAATGTGGCGACTTGAACTTCCGCACATTTATTTGTGCAAAGTTCTATGTCGAAAACAGACAGACAGACAGACTTGAACTTCCGCACATGTGTGCAAAGTTCTATGTCGAAAACAGACAGACAACTGTAGTTATAATGATGGTGCCTAGAGGTGGTGATTTTCGTGAAATTTTTCCCCTTGATGGTGATTGATGCCTGGTGTTAGTGTTGGTAGTTGTTAGCTGTCTCCATTGTTTCTTTCTTCTCTGTGTTTACTTGACGTTCTGTCTGCATTGTCTCTTCTATTTAAGTGCTTGATTCCTTATTATTGGGTTCCGAGTGGAACATAGGGCTTCAAAAAACATCACCACTTCGTTCTAATTTTTGTCGGCCTTTTCAGCTGGGCCCACGATTGTCCATAATCTCTCATCTCCTCCTCCCCAACACACGATCTCCTCCATGTCACCCTTTATATGTGAAGACCCACTCGTCGGGCTTCCCTCTGTCATTCCACTCGAGGACCTGACGGGCGATGTTATTCGATGGCATCCTCATCGTCTACACCCAATCCATCTACATTTTGCTTCTACATATTGTTTCAGCAATCAGCTCTTAGTTGGTTTGTTCCCAGCCAGAGTTTCTTGTTACTGATTCTTTCTGGCCAGCTAGCTATTTGATCTTCAGTATAGAGCGGGTGTTGGTAAAAGTCTGCCGTAGGCTGTTGGAAATCCTTTTCGTGACACTTTTTGTGCCAATTTTCTGACCCGTATAATGTAGCAGTGACTGATTGAATGACTTGAAATTTGTGTTGAAAATTCGAATCTTGTTCTTTAAGCTGTGAGACACGGAGTGCAGAAGATTTTCAAACTGGAAGGTTTGTTTTTGATTTTCCGATTCTGGCTAGCTCGCTGGCTGGCTGGTTAGCTTTGATATTTTCATCCGTTCAGACTGCTTGCGGTTGAAACAATGTTTCCTAGCCAGATAAGTGAAGGAGGTAACCTCTGTAAAATCTCCCTAATACTCTTCTTTACAATAACTTCTACTGAAATTTCTCCACGGTCCAGGATATATTTACTCTTCTAAAGACACCGTTATGTATTTAAGTGTAGATATGAAAGAGAAGATTTGTAGCTCAGGTGGATGATTTTGATGTGGTTGCGTTCTTTCAGCTAGCTGGATAGTTAATTTGCGAAGCTTTCATCACACTACTAGGTGACATCTTCAGCGCATACTTCAATTTCACGAAGTGAGCTTTTAGATTTCTCCACGAGTTTATTAAAATCATCTCTTCCGGTGAGTGACCTTGGCTATTTGTATTGCTGTTGGTTGTTTTCTTGACGTGAATTTTGACCCTTTGTGTGTGTGAGATTTCCTTATTATATCGATTGGTAAATTTTATCTGTCTCAATGTGCCTGTTAGTCGACGATTCACTGGAATACCAGGTTTCCGAAAATTCCCCTGACATTCTTGGTGTTTCCTCTGTCTAAAATATTTGAACGTTGGTTGTCCTAGTCGAATTGATGTCCGTGGTTGTCTGTATGTAGTGACATGACAGAGTGGATGTCAGCATGTCTTTTGATGGCTAGCTTGTGTTCATGGATACGAAGAAGACGAAGGGGACGTCGTCCACTTTGGTAAGTGTAGTGTTTTTTGCACTTGTTACAATTTATTTTTGTAGATGATGATGATGATGATGATGATGTTGGTTTTATCTTCTTTCATTGTCGACTCTTTTGGTTAGCATAAAGCTGAATGAAGTGATTTTGTTTGTGTGCGTTTGTGTTTGCGATATTAATTGCTAAAGTTTTGAAGAGTCTTGAAGTGGTGATTCCTGATATGTTCTTTCTATATGAGTGAGACTTTTTTCTTGCTTTCCCCAAGGGTCTTTCATTTGGTTGGTTGATTGGCTTCAGCGTATGTAGGCCTTTTGATGAAGTTTCGTGGATATCCATTTCTATTTTTTTTTGGAAGATATCCATAAGATGTTTTTTTTTTAAATCTTCAATTATCCTTGAAACAGGAGTACTGCAATAAATCCTGGCTCTCTTGACTTATGTTTGTATGCAACACTTTTTGTGTGTTATTGGGCTGTTACTATTGTATACTTGAGTATTTGATCTGTGTGAGTTGAATTGTCTGTAAACTTGAGTTTCTGATTTTCGTGTAGCTGGTCGCCAGTGCAAGGGTGGGTGACTTGGAGGAGGTCATGTGAAGTGGAGGAGATGAAAGCATGTGGATGGCAGACTTGGAGCGGGGTGAAAAAGTTGACAGAAAACAGAAGGCAATGGAAACGCGCAGCTGAAGCCATATTATTCCTCTAGGAATTAAAGGATATAATAATATAATCACAACCAATATTTTCTAATTCACAATTCTTAATATATATATATCCAAGTTCTTTCTCTGATAACTGATTAATAATTTAAGTGATGTAATTGAACCGTAATACAATACTATCTTAATTTGAATCTTTCAACACTCCCCTTCCCTTAATCTATCTGAACACGGCCTGAATTATTCAGCTGAAAAGTTCTACTGAATTCTGATGAATTTAATGCATCCTACTTTTTTTCGAGTGTGACCACGGAGTGATATCAGTTAGAGAACCATTGAAAATGACAAGGGGGGAGTACTGGACAGCTGTTTCATCAGCCTAGTTTGGAAATCATCGGTAGTACTCACCCACCGCCAGGGTTCGAACCCAGGATCATCCTGGTTACAAGGCAAGCTGGCTAGCATATCATTCAGCTACAGGACAAAGTTGCCTGGAGTTCTGACGAGAAGTCGTGACCAATGAGATCCATCCAGTCGGGAGTGAGGATGCGTTTCTCGCCGATGATATTGGTTAGTGGTCGCGCTAAAATCTCTAATTGGTAGAAGTTACAATTCTTACTTACTATACTTTGGCTATCTCCTACGGGAGGATGAGTCGGCTTCATGAACATCTCGAATCATCTCTGCCCAGGCGCGGCGATAGTTGTTTGTAGGAGAGTTCATGAAGTTTCATGGGAATTAGGTACGAGTGATGTCCCCAGAATCGCTCGGCCTTTTGTTTGAGAGTGCAGCTCTAGCCTTTACACAACCAAGCGTGACCTACAAGGCAGTAGGAGTGGAGTAGGGAGTCCACTATCCATTGTCAGCCGGTGACCGGAGTCTGGTTCATACGCCTTTTTGAATGGAGCCAGACATCCAGGGCATCCAATAAGCCCTTTGTCCATACGTCTGCCGGTGAGCTTCATACGCCAGTCGTTGGAGGTTTGGAATCAGGGTTTAGCCATCTCCCCTAGACTGTCATCCAATGGACTATCAACCCGATGAAGAGCGCCGGGCATCCGCTTTTGCCCTCTCACTTCGATGAAAAACACCTCCGCCACGTGAAGGCAGTGAGTAGGACTTCCTCAGGAGAGGCTTTGTAAGACGCCCGGTCATATGGGAGCATTTCAAGAGGTGTACGGAGGGGTGGGCAACCCGCAGCGTAAGGCACCCACCCCCGACCATCCTGAGGCTTTGGAGGCAAGTTACAATTCATGGACTGGTCATTGAAAACTGGGTGTCCCAATGGCTGAAGAGTATACTAGCTAGCTTGCCTTGTAACCGGAAGGTCCTGAGTTCGAACCCTGGCGGTGGGTGCGTACTGCCGATGATTCCGCAGACCAGGGTCAAACAGCTGTCCAGTACTCCTTGGCGGTTTTCAGTGGTGCTGTGACTGATATCAGTTCATGGTTAAACTCGAAAAACAAATCTAATCTTTACAAATCAACTCTTGAAATCCTAATTTATTAACTTTTGTGGTGTGTTTATGTTCTTTTTTTTGGTTAAATTTTCTATACTACTTTTTATTATGTACTGTCGTTTTCTTTCAATCTAATTTCTGATTTGTTATTTCACCCCTCCAGGTTACGGAATTAAAATTAGACGAAAATGAAGAACTAGTGAAAAAGTTGAAGCAGGGAGTTTTCACCTTACGTAATATGTATGAACAATTTCAAAATATTTTAAAAATTGGTTCATTCTCTCAAGTTCTATCAGCTATTCCTGGTCTTGGACAAGATCTCTTAGCTAATGATCAGGTGAGTAAGACCTTTGGTTTTGATTTTATTTAGCGTGTGTGTGTGTTCAACGTAATGTGGAACTTCTGTTGATCTATTAATCCACCGAGGTGTAAGGTTGTCGAGTGGTTGTGCTACAATGATGGTATTGCCTGTTAGTCTCATCTCGCAAGAGGTAAGGATAGGTGTGTTCGGTCCTCCGGAAAACTAATGTATAAATGCGCAGTCAATGGGTGTATCATTGTTTGACATAACTGGCGATTCACCTGCGAGTTATTAGGAGTCGTTATCAGTTGTCCTATCTCCTTTGCTGTTGGACTCTCCTTCGAGCATAATCTGTTGTTGGTGTGTGTGTGTGTGTGAGTCATACAATACTGTTTGTTTTACCCTTCATTGCTGAATCCATTACACGAAACTGGTTAAGATTTCCTCCATGCCTCTTTATAAGATAGGCTGATACAAGCACTTAAAAGTTATTGTGTGTGTGTGTGTGGAGGGGGGGGGAGATGTAGCTCATTCGTTGACGAAGCACTAATTCTGTGAGCTAATGGATTTCTAGTTCGATTCCCGCTCTGCTTACTCCATTTTTTAAGGCAGGAGGGTTTTGTCTGTTTCTTATGGAAAGTGTGTGGGTGGCTGTTACTTTCCGGTTGCCCACACCGTGGAAGTTGTTGATTTTTGGGTGTGGGGGCTACATGGAACAGCAGAAAGAGAATTAGTATTGAATGGCTGCAGAGCCTAGGGGACAACTGATTAAGTCCGGTCACACATGGCCTGTTTGATGAACTGGCTTTTAGGTTTGGTTCCATATTAGTAACTTACCACAGGCTACGGACCCCTGTAGGTAGGGTGAGTCGAGATGTACAATTGTTGGGGTCGAACTTTTCTAGCCTCCTCCTTCCAGACAGGAGAGGTAGCATAGCTGTTGGCATGCTGGTCATCTAAGGGAAACATCTTACTGTGGCTGTTACATCTCTGCACCCAAGCAGTACAACTTCGCCCACAACCCCCCACCCCCACCCCCCGGCATAGTGAATATTGCTTTTATTCTAGTCACTATCCTAACAGCCTTCGAGGCATGGCAGGACCTGCAGGAACATTAGTTCCAGACAGTGTAGCTTATTAGGTGATTGCGATATGCAATCCGAATGACCGCCACGTTAAAGTAGCAGCTATGGGTCGAGATAGTTGGGTGATATGGCTCAAAATCCTCGTTCTCAATGGTTGGCGCAGATGCATTCACTTTTTGTGATTTGTTATATCCCATAAAACTCTATTCTTCTTCTTCCATATATTTTTTTTTCCTTCACGTTCCGCGGTGGAACATGGGTCTTCAAGCTAGTGGCTTGAAGTTTCTGTAGCAGTGTTTAATTTTACAGGATGGGGCTGCTAGCCTCATACCCAGCCTTTCCTCTTTACCAGCATTATTTCTCGTTTAGCGGCCGGGGATCGAACCCCAGACCATGTACATGGTCGGCGAGCGTCCTAACCGCGATGCCACCAAAGCACACCAGTGAAACTAAGAACACAAATTACATTTTAAGAAGGATTCTGCAGTTGGAAAATGAGCCTGAAAGCCAACATATCATGTCGATCTGTGAGTAAATGCTCCGCTTAACCTTCTGTATTAAGAAGCTAAGACAACCCAACCTCTACTTTTACAATGTTTTAACTCTTGTACCTTATTGTTCTTTACTGCTACCCTATAGCCTTCCCTAAACTACTCAAATGGGATTATGTCATATCACAAAGAGTATTAAAGGTTGTCATCTGGGCAAGTGGTGTATCACTAGGTTAGACTGTTGCTACCGCAGTAAACAGACACCTGAACCTATGTGAGAAATGATCTAAATCCATGTTACTTGACTTTCAAAACCCTCTCTATTATCAACTCTCTCCACCTTGCATCTCATCAGGTAGGACTAGATGTCATTATAAAAGATTATATGCTAGTACACAGTTACAAGGGTGCTTATTTTCACCAATGATATTCCTAATTGTGGTGGACTGACTGGATTATGCGTCAGACAGTAGGAAACGAGAGGACAGGGATATCCTGGACCAACGTGAAGAACCTAGAAGACCTGGATGTCGCGCTGCGATGATTTATGTTTGATGTCACACAAAAGCGAAGACTTACAAGCGAGCGAAAACCGACAAACTGATCGAAGAAGCCGCCGGCGAAGACAGGACTCCAAGTGAACATAGGCAAGACGGAGGTTATGAAAATAACCAACCACCACCAACAACAACAACAACAGCAACACCCAGCGCCAATCATCATCAACGGAAGGGATTTGAAAGAGGTTACTTCGTTCACTTATCTAGGGAGTATTGTCTCAACTACACGGGGAACGGACGAGGATGTCAAATCGAAAATCAGGAAGGTGAGAGACATATTCATCAACCTGAAACCAATCTGGAAATATTCGTCACTCAGCCAGCCAGGATCAACAACAAAATTCGGTCGGATTTTCAATACAAACAACGTCAAGTCATTCAGTTCTTCTATACGGATGAGAAACTTGGCGGGCGTGTCACAAAGAATATTTCCAACAGCCTGTTGCAGACCTTCATCAACAACTGTCTTCGCTCTATACTGAAGATCAGATGGCCGGCCGGGTCGGAAAGAATCACCAACAAGAAACTATGGGAACAAACAAAACAAGAACCAATCGCCCAACAAATATGCAGGAGAAAGTGCATGGAGATGGATTGGCCACTCGCTGAGGAGGCCACTGGGTGACATCGCGCACGTCAGGCCATTGCTCGAGTGGAACCCGACGGGGAAGCGGCGGATGGGACGTCCATATTACTCTGCTTTTTCCCTCACACTTCTCTTTATTATCTCTCTTTGCTTACTCTTTTCTTTCGCTTTTTGTGCTACACAGAGGGGGAGTGGCAACTCTAGCCTGCTGCACTTCTGTGCAAAGTTTTATGTAGAAACCAGTCAGTCAGAATAGTTTTGATTTCTAAAGGGGGAACTCGGTGGTAGTGTAAACTCGATAACATTTAGGAAATTTTCTCGCATTATTATTATTATTATTATTATTATTATTATTCATACGTTGATTTTATGTATGATACCTTATTAATTTTTCGTACCGGTATATTTTTAACTTATAGGAAAGTCATCTACGCTTAAAACGTCTTATGACAATCATGGACAGTATGAATGATTATGAATTAGATTCTGATGAAGGAGGTCGTCTATTCAATCGACAGCCTGGTCGAACACTACGTGTTGCTCGTGGTGCTGGTGTCAGTCAAGCTGAAGTGAAACTCCTGCTGACACAACATAGTAAATTTTATATGGTCATCAAAAAAATGGGTGGTATTAAAGGACTCTTTCAAACTGGACCTAAAGGTGGTGCTGGTGTTGGTGGTGGGTTGGGTGCAGCTGCAGGTGGTGGTGCTGGTGGTGCAGGTGGTGGCCTTGGCGGTGGAAATACACCAAGTCTAGCTGAAATGGCCGCAGCTTCAAGATCTGTCAGCGCTGGTCAAATGGCTAAATTGAATCAATCGATGGCTAAAGTACTCGATCCACGTATTCTACAACAAATGGGTGGTATGGCTGGTCTACAGAATATGATGCGTCAATTACAAGCTGGTGGTGGGTTTGGACCTTTCGGTGGAGGTGGTCGGTTAGGTTAGAATGGAATAGTAGTTTGGTTGTTATATGCGCATTGTACTTAATTCTCTCTCTCCTTTGATAAATATAACACACTGTCTTTCTGTAAAACAATACATATACACTAATGTTACGTAATCAATCAATCATCACATATATACACACATACACAGATATATATTCCTCCCAAATGAATACTGCTCTGCTAGGTGGTGGGGGTGGTAGTGGGTGGTGGTCAACAACGCTTGTGTACATATACCTACCTACCTACCTATTAATGCAATTGTATGCCTAATTTATTGTAAGAATATCTCTTTTTTTTCTTGTTTGTTTCTGGTCTCTAAATTTTGGGGGTGGGGAGGGATTAGACAGTATTTTCTCACCACCACCACTACCCCTACTACCTCGATTGAGAGAGAGAGTCGATGACACTTGTCGATGATGATGAGGTTAGTGAGGCTAATTTGAATTGAAACTCATCGCGACCTACCGATATATTTTCTTCAGTTGTGTGTGTGTGTGTGTGTGTGTGTGTAGTTGTGATCATTTTGTGCATAATTTGTTTTGTGTAGAAACAGTTGGGTAATAATAACAGTAATGATAATAATAATAATAATAATATAAAATGGTGACAGATGTTACGTCTTTTTTGTTGTTGTTTATTTAGTTTTTCAAATGCTGTCGTCTGCAGATGATATAATTCCCCCCTTCTAGGTGAAGACGCTGACAAAATGCAGAGTCTTCTGAACACCTTGAGGGGTAGCAATCTTCGAATGTCTGACATGTGATTCGCTCCCGCTAAATGTAAGATGATGTTACAGGACTGACTGGACTACACTGACTCCTAGTTTAGAAATAGGGAGTCAAATGGTAGAGCGCGTTGATCACTTCACTTATTTGAAAAGTTGCATCAGCCAGCACCAATGGGTTGATCTCTGACGAAATCTCAGCACGGGTACCGAAGGCTAGTTTCGCATATGTCAGTTTACGCCGTCTCTGGCTTAGTAGATGTGATATCCGGCTATCGACCAAAGAGCAGATGTACTGCTCAGCAGTCTGCTCCGTCCTCCTTTATGGCTGATAGAAACATGGCCATTGAAAATGGTTGATACCAAAATCCTGACTAGCTGTCTTTGATCATATGTGTGCCAGCGTTCTATCCCCCGTGTGAAGTGGTATAATAGGGTGAGCAATATTGAGGTTAGGCATCAGTCGATTACTAGGTAAGGAAGGAAAATCGACCGACGAAGATACATCGATTAGGATGTTCAGGAGGTATGTTACGCATGCCTGCCTGGCCATCGCCTTTCTCGACAGTAGGTTATGTTAGATGACATAGGGTCAGGCTGGAAAAAAGCTAGCGGCACTCAAACCAAAACATGGCCTCATCATTTAGCGAAATCCACAACAGTTCGTTTAAGCCAGCTAGTCACGGAGGAAGGTGTAGACTTCCTGCGGGATGGTAAACACCAATGAAGGCTGGAGACTATCGTCGATATGGCGCATAATCGTTCTCAAAGACTGGTGCAAATGCATCCAGTCCTTATAATTTCAAATGGAACTATATGGTTCTTCGATATTACTATTCTTTTTGCCTCATATCTCTGTTTACTGTTTCAATTTTCCATTTCTTTTAACTTTCGTTTCTGGCTTTGTGTGTGCTGCACGGTGGTGCCAAGTTCTATGTTGGAACCAGACAGATCATCTTATTGAGCTATAAATCCTTGGTGTTTATAATTATTGTATAGATTTACAAATTACGTTCATTGTGTCATCCATCCATGAGGGGGTTGCGAATTTCAATTTCTCACTTACCGACAGTCATTGATAAAACATATCTGCAAATGTCATAGACTTCAACGTTTGGTGAATCTTTCAAGACATAGACGATGTTTTTATTATGAAAATGTGGTTTTTAAACAAAGCATCATTGTACTTCCGAGAGATCAGGCTGTGTTGTCAGGCCTGGTTGATTTAGTCATCGACATAGACATGCACAAACTAAAGCACTAACGAAATGGCTGCCGATGTCCCAGAAGGTGGCTGGAATCTAATAATCGACCTTCTTCATCGATAATTTGTTTCCAGGTAGATCTATTTGTATTTGTTGTCGGCTAGAATTCGGCAATCACCACCGCATGAGACAATGTTTCTTTGCATATTTGAAATTAGTTATTGTTGCTCGAGAAAAGACGATTATCTGGACAGAATTGTAGAAAAACGACTAAAACGACTGTTGTTAGTTTGTCTTGATTATTATTCCATTGAGTACCGAGTAGAACATAGGTCTTCAACAATACTCTGTCTCCACTTTGTTCTATTTTCTGCCATCCTCTTCAGCCGAGCCCACGACTGTTAATAATCTCACATCTCCTCCTCCATATCAACCTCGGATGACCTGCTGGTCGCTTCCTCCTGTGACTTCACTCGAGGGCCTGTCGTGTGATGTCATTCGACGGCCTTCTCGATGTATGTCCGATCAATGCAGTTCCATTTCCTCCTCGCCTAGTTAACTAGCTGGCTAGTTTTCTAGCCGGTCTCAAACCTGGGTAAAGAGGGGGGGGTTGGGCGTGGGGCTAGCAACCCCACACTGCTAAACCTATCAAACCGCTAGAGAAACTTCAACGCACAGAAAATGTATTAAAAATACAAAAAATTTAAATAACAGTCTTATTCTTCACTGGAATTGGAGAGGCGAAATGACACAGCAGGCTGATGAAAGTTGTCGGGAAACCAGTCAGCCAGCCAGCCGACGTGTGTTCACTCTCTCGATGAGAGCGAGAATAAGATTGGGTACATGGAATGTACGTACTATCTACGAGACTAGGAAGGCCGTTCAGGTAGCCAAGGAAATTGCGAAGATATGACACAGAAGTGCTGGAAATCTGCGAGAGCAGACGGGATGGATGTGGATTATCGAAATTGTCAACTGGAGAGTCAGCAATCTATTCCGATCTTGTCATCTAGACGACAACCACGAGCACACACTGAGGGAGTGAGTGGCTATGATGATGCTACATGTAGCAGTCAAAGCTCTAATGCATTGGGAACCAGGATCATGACAGCAAAATTCAACTCGAAATGAGGAAAAGAAGGTCACAATTAGCCTTCGTCGTCATTGGAGCTCTTATATATTCTGCAATCAAACTTTTCAGACTCTCTCGGCTTCCTAAAAATACTTTGCTCAGATGACTGTATCTATTCTCTTGCACAGCAGACTAGACAGACAGTTTCTCATAAAACTTATTCACACCATCCGAAATGCAGACAATGGAGATTATGAAACGGTATCAATTAGTATACTCAACTGTTTTACAGGTTGATCACGGATTGATATCAGTTAGAGAACCATTGAAAACCAGGGAGTACTGGACAGCTGCTGTTTCATCCTAGTTTGGGAATCATCGGCAGTACGCACCCACTGGGATTCGAACCCGGGACCTTCCGGTTACAAGTCAAGCTCCCTCGTGTACCATTCAGCCACTGGGACCCGATTCAATGGCTCGTGAATTCTAACTACTACTAATTCGTGATTTAGCGCGACCCCAACCATTGTCGTTGGTGGGACATCCATCCACACACGTGACATACTTAACTGTACTATTCACCCAAGCAGGATAGCGCATACACGATTGTGTAGTGCAGCAAGATAGTAGCAGTTATCAGCTGGAAGGTGGTGTTATAGTGAAAAAGATTATCGAATATCTAACATATTTGTTATCAGATGTCTCACGATTGTGAAATGTATCACATAGAACAGAGTTATCAAATTCAGGTAACTCCTAGTTTTGGACTCTTCAGCAGTACGCACCCACCCACTAGCGACTTGCCCTATTCGGGTATGCAGTTACCTGGGGTTCTAGTGAGAAGTCGTGACCAGTAGGGTGCAGCAGGTCGGGTGTGAGGACAAATACTCGCCGAAGACATTGGCTAGGGGGTGCGCTATCATCGTGAATTGGCAGAAGTTAGAATTTATGGGCCATTGGATCGGGTATCAGTGGCTTAATAGTATACGAGCTCGCCTTGTAACCAGAAGGTCCTGGGTTCGAATCCCCGGTGGATGCGTACTGATGAAGAGTCCCAAACTAGGCTGACGAAACAGCTGTCCAATACTCCCAGGTTTTCCAATGTCAGCTCATGATGAAATCCTGTAACCAATCAACCTAATCCCTACAAACCAACACTTGAATATTCAACATACTTCTTTTGCAATATCGACGTAATATAAGTTTTTCAACGTCTTAATTCCTCTAAATAAAATAATTTGAGTAACAGTATCGAAAAGTGTTACATCCACCATCATCCTCTTTTATTTGGATAAGTATTTAGCGTTCTTAACCAAAAGACAAAGTTTGGCTCAATCGATAGTAGTCACACCTACTATCGTCTGTCACTGACATAATCTCTAGGTGAGTACAGGATAATGTTAGCATACAAAAAAAACAGACGACATATGCAAGAAATGCAGAGTTACGCTATTGAAGAGCTTTCATGTAATAACAATCGACAAATACTTACAGCGTTTGAATAAAGCAAGAACAACAGTGTGGTTTGTGCAGAATTAAATGGTACCATCACATTGTTTATTTCATTGGCTTCTCATCACACTTAAGTCATTATTAAGTAGTATATCTACAGAACCGATTTTAACATACTTGTACAGAGTTCATTATTAAACAAAAATTAATCAACCAATATATTATTATTATTATTAGTGTTCCCTTGGATTCCCAGTGGAACATAGAGCTTCAACTGTACGTCTCTACTTGCCACTTCTGTCTTCCTTCTGCTGTAATTTTCACTTGCATCATCCATGTTAGTCCGTACTGTTTCAACTCCTCTTCACACAATCTCCTCCATGTCACTCTTGCACTGACGTCCCACTCGCCGCCTCCCTTTCGTTCAGGACGCCCACGACTATCCCTATTTCTCTCTAATTTCACCATAGATGTACTAATGGACTTAACCCTAAGTGACTTCAGAGACTCAGGGATTGACTTGTTATCAGCAAGGAAATAATCTCATTGACTTAGAATATGCAAATGATATAATCCTTCTAGGTGACATGAAGACATGGAAAAAATTCAGTCTTCCGAACACCTTGAGCTGCAATCTGCTAATGTTTGGCATGCGATTCCCTCCCCCCCATGTCAAATGTAATATGATGCTACAGGACTGGACTACCTTGACACCTAACTTAAAGATAGGCAGGAGTGTAGTGGTTGGTAGAGCTTGTTAACCACTTCACTTATTTGGAAATTCACATCAGCCCCAGTCGGTTGATCGCTGACGAAATCTCAGCACGGATAAACAAGGCTCGTTTGGCATTTATTAGCCAACTTACGACATCTCTGGCTTAGTAGATGTTATATCCAGCTGGCTATCGATCAAACGGCGTGTGTAATGCTCAGCAATCCGCTCCGCCCTCCTTCATCATAGCTGATAGAAAAATGGCCATTGAAAGTGGTTGGTACAAAAAGCCTGATCATAAGTGTCTGTGTTCTATATCCTGTGTTAAGTGGTATAATAAGGTGAGCAATATTGAGGTTAGGTATCGGTCGAGTCCTAGATAAGGAGGGTAAATCAATCGATGAGAATGTGAAGTTATATGGATTGAGATGGTTAGGACATATAT